CTGGTGAGATTTCATTGTTTCCATGAATATCAAGCATTGCCTTATGGAGCAGCCTGGGAGCTGCCTGCCTGCCGTGTCAGGGAGCTCTTGCAGTTTATTCTCCTTGGTGACTCTGAGAACAAACCTAATTCTACTTTTCTACTTTCTTTTTTTTTTTAATACCCCTTATTTAAACAGCAGTCCAGTGCAAAGATAGAGATCTACTAAGCCTCTTGGTCTGCTTTTTCCTTTTTCCTTCAGTTTTCCAAGAATACAAAAAAAAAAAAAAAAAAAAAAAAAGAGAGAATAGAACTGTTAATTGTTTTGCACAGGTCAGTTTTGTTGTACAATATTTTACAAAGAGTTGCATTAGTATAAGGTGTGTTCCCTCACCTAAGGTGAAAGAGACATGGAATTGGGAGTTTGAAATTGATTTTAATATAGCCATTGCTGGCATGCTGCCACTAATGCCTGCACAGCTCAGTGAGGAGACCACAGTGTGCCTCATAATTGGAGGTCAGACTGCACCAGAGCTGGCCTCCCTTGGTCAGTGTAATTAAGTGAGCAGGAAGGGTTTGCACAGGGTCTCTGAAGCTGTGTTTTCCTCAGAGCCATCCCCATGGCCAGCTGGGAAGAAGAATCCCTTGGATCCACAATGTGCGGGTGAGTAGGTAGCCTCAAAGAGAGAAGGTTCAAATTCCTTGGCACTGCAGCCTGTCTGGCAGGGCTGAAAATGTGATTTCAAAAGAGCTGTTTGACCAGGGAGATATCTGTGCCACCCCCACCATTCCAGCACACAGGGAGCAGCACAGGGATGGAATCAGCTTGGACTGAAGCATTTTCCATTCCTGTTCAGTGCAGCCTTTTCTTGTGGATTCTTTCTTCGAGTCTCTTTCTCCTCTGTGATTCATCATTTTGTCTTTAGATTTTGTACTGGAGCCAGATCATAGGCAATCCAGAATGTTGAGCTGTGCCCAGCTATTCATGTAGTTCCAGCTGCTGTTACTTAAAAAAATGACATAAATGCACAAACCCCGGCTTTTACCATTAGTTATTTTCTTTCTGTGGTTGTGGTCTTCCTACTTGGGAGTATCCTTTGTTTCTTCTGTTGGTTTCCATCAAGATCTGGTGGAAGTCTTTTCTTGATCATTAACTTCTCCATAGCTCTGATTTACATTTCACTTCACTGTTCAGTTTCATCTCGTCCCATCTTCCCTACGCATCCTTAAAGGATCCCAAATCCATATTAAATCTGAAGGCATTGCTCATTCATCTCATTTTTGAACTGCTGTCACAAACACATAATTTGCCATTATCTATCAAACTAAAATCATCATTATTTCCTGTTGTGTCCTTTGTTACTACTTCTGACACAAGCCCAAATCAGTAATAATCACTCCAAACCACTGGTCACCCTGCTGTCTCCTACTTGAAAAGCAAGAATCTCCAAATAATACAGAAGAAACCCATAGTAAGGTCTGCACACTGTATTAATTTAATTTCTTCTTGTTTATCACACTTTTTAATAGAACCACTTTTTATCCTTGGCATCTGGGCCACAGCCATATACTTGAGTTCAGGGAAATATTTACTTGTCAGAGAATTAAAGGGGTTAAGCCAGCGGGAATATTTCCCAGATAAGGAATTCAGATATCAGCCCTAAGCTAGGAAGGCAAAAGCCTCTTGAGACTCTGTTTTCTCACCTCCTGTCCATTTAATTTGTTATTCCCATGCTTTCACGTACTTGATGGCTGCTTGACAATTTTATTGTGTGTTGTACAGTCCCTCAGTGATCACACCTCCCTCTGCCTGGCTCCCTCTCCACGGTCACACAGCTCACATCCAATACTCATCTCCACCACCCAGGGTTCTATTGTCCCCTTGGTGTGGCTGTGCAAGTCCCACTGCTGTCAGCAGGAATTACATGTGTGCATCAAGGAGGGGAAAATCCCTTGTGTGCTCTGCTCTCCTCGTTATCCTGGCACAGTCAGCTCTGGAGATGGCTCATCTATGAGCTTTTTATTCTCTTGGGGGTTGTGAGTACGGCAAGTTGCCTCCCAGGATCAGCAGTTTTGCTCTTGAGGTGTTTAGCAAGTTGATTTACTGTGCATCTGTACACTCTTAAGTGTCCTCATCCCGCCCACCCCACATCTTGCAGCATCCTTGTGTTAGATGGTGGAGCTTCCCATTTCCTTTTTGTGCCACAACACCAATTCCTAACCAGACTCCCAGCAGGCTCCATGTGAAGCGAACCTTCCCAAATAAAATATGTTCAGGCCCAGCTCAGGCCTGCCATCTGAAAGCTTGGGGAAAATTCAGAAGATACAAAAACGTAAATGGAATATTTTTAATTTTCCTTAAAGATCCGAAGGAAGACATTTTATAAGCACTTCATGTGAGGTGCTGCTAAAGAAGGAGGTAGTTCAAATAATACCTAATCAGTCAGACAAACTGTAATTCCTTCCCAAATTTATTGGAGTATCAAGAGTTGAATGAAAATGTTAGAGTGACAGCAACCACACACATGAACCAGAGATTTCCCCTGTCTGAACATGGGTCTGGATTCTCCTCTGCTCCTTCTGGAAACTCCTCAGTTTGGGAGGCACCTGCTGTTTCACACTGGCCACTGTTCCTGAAAATACAACTGAGAATTCAACTCCATTTGCAGCCTCATTTCATGAGCACACAGTTTGTTACCACAGCTTAGAAAAGCGGGATGGCAAACTAGTTTGGGAAAAAAATCAATTTGCCATCAGATTAGAAATCAACTGTAAACATGTTGAAGAATTCTTTTTTTTTTTTTCACTACTGCTCTGCCTTTTCTTCACAATCTGTTGTGGTGTCAGACTTATTTTGATAATACTTGTAGAACTTGTCATATTAACAAAGTTATCAAGCAGAGCAAGCACTTGCACAGCAACAGCTGTAGTCCAGCAAGAGTCAAAATAACTGGCCATGGGTATTCGAAAAAGAACATCCACATTGTAGTTCCCCAAATCCAAAATATCCTCGGTACTCTCCAGAGTACTTGTCGTTCTATTGAAATAGAAACTGCCCTTAAACCTGGAAAAATCTGCTCCAAACTTTGAAACTGAGGATAAAGATAAATGGAAAAAAAAAATCATATTTTTTAAAATATACATTAGGATTTATTTTTGCTGTGATAATGTCAGTCAACTATTTCTGCCTCTGTGGAAGTGGTTCATAAAAAAGGGTCGACATTAAATCCAATACAATGATGGAATTTATTTAGTGTTATATAACAAACTCAGAAATACTTGTTTAAAAACAAAATAAACCCCATAATCCACTAAGACTGTAAATTGGTGGGGTTGGAACAATCTTTTCATTATTCTTGTCCACAGAGCTCAATACAATGAGGCCTCAGTTCTTTGCTAACGTCTCTAGGTGTTAACACAATGCTATTAAATCTACTCAATGGCCAAAGATGCAGCCAGTGGATTTATGTGTCCCATTCCTTGGGAGACGTGCAAATCCCACAGATTGGTTTAATGGCCGGATTTTTCAGCTGCAATGTCTGATTTTGCACGTACATCAGATAATATGCATCTATTTATGCAAATTGCTGCTGGATTTATAAGCACAAAACACTCGTGCCTGGGAATTCCTATTTGTGGCCTTGAGCTGGAAGAAGGAAAGGACGGGATTGGGGAGCCAGGGCCCTGCTGTAGGAAAAGCGCAGGAGCCACGCTCTGCTTGAAACCACTGCTTTCAGTTTTCTGTGAAATTCACTGAAGTTTCACTTTCTGACCCTGTGTTGATCTGCCTTTATTTTTACACCAGAAATTTGCTGGTTTAGTGGAGGTAGTTTCCTCTGCTACTGATGTGATGTGGATTAGGCCTGGCAAGCCTATTTTCCTCTAAAAGAAGCAGGGCCAGGCTCAGGCTGGTTCACAGATACGGTTGAGGAGGCAATCCTGGCACTACCCATTTCTCTACCCCATCCTGAGTTTTTCATCTCTGGATAGATCAGATTTTTCCTCCCCAATATGTAATTTTTTGTAGATTTGCTACTACTCCCTCACGCCATGTTTCTTTCCCTCACAGCCCGGGCTCTGCTCTCCTCACATGACACACTCATGAACCCCTGGACATAGATCTTTTCCTGTGAACACAAAGTTTTCCTCATGGGATACACTTGGTTTTCACCTGGCCATGTTAGTTTTTTGCCCACTGAGCTCATCTTTCCAGGGCTGTGTTAATTTTCCCCGGGATGTGCTGCTTGTTCCCTTGTGGGGACATGTAAAGAGGGCTAGAGGAAATGACCTTAGGTTGAGACAGGGGGAGATTGAGATTATATATGGGGAAAAAAATCAATTATGGTGGTCAGGCATTGTAATGGGTTGCCCAGGAGGTGGTGGAATCAGCATCTCTGGAGGTGTTTCAGAGCTGTCAGGATCTGTGCTGGGTGATGGTTTGGGGCTGACAGCGGCAGTGCTGGGTTGGTGGTTGGACACAGGGAATCACCAAACCTGAGCTGGAAGGGGCACAGATCTTCAAACCCAACCCTTCAGTGAATGGCAGTGATCAAACCACAGCCTTGGCATCATCGGCAGCGTGCTCTGTGATGTGAACCCACGATCTCCCTGCATGCGCCGGCTGGTTTGGGCTTCCTTCCCAGGAACACACCAGCTTTTCGCGACAATTTGGACGCTTAAGTTTCTTCTCCGGACAGACGAGGCTCCTGCGGATCGCGGAGCTCGGCAGAGCACTGAGAGAGGAAGCGGCAGACGCTGCCGAACCCCTTTCCCCCTCCATCATCATTATTATTATCATCATCACTACCATCATCATCATCACCTTCATCCCCGCTCCCCCCGCGCGGGGCGGCGCCTGTCGCTTTAAGCGGCGCGTGCCCGCGCGCGCGGGGCGGGGCGCGGCGGCGGCGCGCGGCGGGCGCTTCACCTGCAGCCCGGAGCGGCCGCGGGACCCGGCCGGCTCCGCTCCGCTCCTCGCTGTACGGTACCGCTCCGATCCGCTCCGATCCGCCCGCCGCGGACATGAGCGCCGGCCCGAGGCGGCGGCTGCTGCTGCTGCTCCTCCTGCCCGTCTGGGGCTCGGCGGCGGTAAGTGGAAACGGGCGCGGAGCCATCCCCGCCGCGGCTCCTCCGCGCCCGCCGCGACAACTTCGGGCTCGGGGAGTGAGGGTGATGGTGGTGGGTGCGCGGAGCTCCTGCCGCTGCTCCCGCCGCGCTGCCGTTTCGCACCGCCTTTTTTAAAAAAAATCGAATCGCCGCTGTGCAGTTTTTAATTGTTGTTTTTTTGGAGCCGCCGCTCAGGTGCCGCCGCGGTGCCGGCACAAGTACGCTCCGCGCTGCGCCTCGCCGGAGAAACTTCGGGGACAGCGGTGCGTCCCGGCGCGGAGCCGCTCCGAGCTCCGCCGAGCCCCCGCGGCCGCGCTCCCCGCCGAGCCCCGCGGAGCCCGCGCCCGCTGCAGCCCCTAACTTTTATTTTTACAAGCCCATAAACCCAACCGAGCGGGCCCGGTGGTGATGCTCTGAAAGTTTGGGATTTTTAGGGTTTTATTCCCACGGCGCCTGAAATTGAAGGGTTTCTGTAGAGCATCAACAAGCGCCTGAACGCGTGGCTGCAGTGTTACAGAGCGAGCCGGGCGGCTGCTGGCTTTCGGGCTGGGCTGGCTGCGGGAACAAGAGCCGCTTATTTTTCTGCCTCAATCCCCCGGTGCCAAGTAGAATCCGTGAGGATGTCCCGAGCCTCGTGGAGGCTGGTGGGTGCCCAGGAATAGCCCCGATGCGCTCTCGTCTAGCGAGCACCGCTCTAATAACGGGGCGATTTCAGATTGGAAGCCCGCTATGCTCGGTGAGACCCTTTGAAATGTGTCCTAATGGCAACATCTTGCCAGCCGCGGTCAGAGTCCAAGAGAGCCGCCGCTTCCTTGCGCTTCCCATGCAGTAGCTGGCATCCGTCTCCCGAGCGTGATTTTAAGCCGAGTACATTGGCTTGTGTTCTGCTTACTAAGCTCATCCGAAAGGACCCTTCCTTCTCTCCGGTTGGTCTCTGTGTCCCTGGCGCAGCGCAGTCCGTGTGCGGGAGTGTCTGGGGCTGCGGGGGTTGCTGTGCTCCCCGGGGAGGCAGGTGCCCGCCCGGAGTTGCACTTTGCAGGGAGGCGCCGCTCCCGCTCCCCCGGCTGCAGCCGGCGCTGCCGGCTCTGGAGGCGGCGGAGGTGCCGGCAGCATCGCTAAGCGATGCTCTGGCTGGCTCTGCCGGCAGCCCGGGCGCGTTAGAAATCCCCTGCCACCAGCACTTGTTAGTGCGTAAATCACCTGGCACTCTCCACGCATAAATCACGGGCTTGTGTGCTGTCAGCGAGTTCCCCTGGAGCTGGGGTCTGGGACCTTCCCTGCCGGGGAATCCCAAGGAGCCCGGGCTGCTCTGACTGGACCGTCCCGTCCCTGTGGCTGGGGCTGGATCCTCTGCTCAGTCCAAAGTTGCAGCTGAGTGTTTTGTTGGCTGCGTCCCTCTGGGTGCTGGCACGTTGTGCACGATTCTGTGCATTGTCACGTTTTTAATTGGGAATCTCTCCATTCCTTCCCACTGCCGGGGCAAGAGCAGAGCCTGGAGGGTCCCAGAGGCTGGAGCAGGCAGAGCCTGGGATGCTGCTGCCAGGGTGAAGGGGAAGGAAGGGTGTCCTCACCTGGTCGCAGCTCCTGTGTTTCTCCCCCTTCCGTGCAGGTCTGCCCAGTTTCTCAGTAGCTAACCTCGGTGGTTTGGATGTTGCAACATCAGGCCTTTGCGTGTCTCCAGTGCGAGCACAGCGCCTTGATGAATTGCTGCTCTTTGTTTCCTCCCCTCTTCTGACAGTGCCCAGTATTCCAGCCTTCCTACAAACAATGCTCTCTTATAGTCAGGCAACTATTGCTGGCCCATTTTATTTTTTGCAGCTACAGTATGGATCCACTCCAACAGATAGGCACTCTAACACAAGCAACTTCTACTTGCACACTGCTTTACTGTTCAGGTTTGCTCATGCCTAAACACTTCATCACTGGGTGCAAAACGTTTTCCCAAATGACAAAAGTCATGGTGTGCATTTTCCTTGTTTTGTTTTTGCAGGCACACAATGGGGATCTTACAGTTAGACCCACATGCAAGCCTGGCTTCTCAGAACAAGACTACACAGCATTCATCTCCCAGAATATCATGGAAGGGCAGAAGTTACTCAAAGGTAAGTGGAATAAAAAGCTTAATAGCTTCGGCAATAACTGTATTTTCAGGAGGTGAAAGGAGGCTTAAAGATGCTGGTTTTGATGGTGAAATTGTCTGCAGAATTATGTTTGTAGGAGGATGAAACACTAAGTGGTTTACCTGAGCACAGTTTTGAATACAGATGAATCATTTCAAGTCCGCTGCTGTCTACTTCAGGTGGATTGTTTGTTACACCGTGCGAGGTCATCACTTCACTCTTGAGTCTCCCACTCCCACCCTGTCTGAAGGAACTCTGCATCTGATATTTTAGAAAGTATTTTTATGTATGAAATTCAAAGATCCCTAAATTATCTCTGCTTTGAAATGGATGATAAAGCAGACGTTGTTGTTGGAAATGTGGTAAACAAGCCTACAGACATTCTGTTCACAAATGTGGCATTCATTTTCATTACTGCCCCACTGACAACATGAAAACACAGGCAAAAAGAAACTACCAATTAGCTTTATAGTAATTGCAGGATTATAACCACTTTTGTGCTTGTAAACTCTAAGATGTCTTCATAATCCAAATAACAGTAGATTATCCTGTGTATTGCTCTGTCTCCTTTTCAAGTTAAAAATAATTAAACTTTATATTTGCATGACACAGAAAAATACTTTATTCCAAGAGAATTTTTGAAGATCAGAATCCTCCAGCAGCCCAGGAAGTTGGGGAGCATATCAGGACTTGGTGCTCTACTCAAGGCTTTATAACTGTATTTTGCAGTGTTTTCCTGAGTACATTTTGCTTGCATGCATGTCTCTGTGCCAGAAAGCTGGGATTTCTGTCTTCCTCCACACCAAACTCCTGCTCTGTTACTTTGATTTTTCTCAGAAGAGAGGGAGAGTTGTCAGTGTTCTCTCTGGCTTCAGCAGAATCCAGGACTGGACATTTTTGCTCTGCATGAGCTGGCAATCACTTTTGTTTCTGTGCCCAGTTGTCTTAGTGTTGCTGTTCAGGAATTCTCTTGACTGGCCTGGCATTAATTAGTAGACCTTGGGGAGTTTATTTTTAGTTTGAAGGGTAACCAGTGAGGGAATTGGGACGGACAAGCTCAAGATTATGCAACCCTAAAGAAACCAAATACCAATAGTTTCCACTTTGTAGCAATTTTTCCTAAGTGTGAAGGCGGCTTTACAGGTCAGTCTGGAAACTGGGTAGATTTCATGCTCTTTTAGCTTTGCAAATTATTTGATAAAAAATGTTCTCTGAGTACTGTAGAAAGCTGTGTCATAAATGTATTTGCTCAGAAGAGTGGTTTTTTTGCAGTTTAGTGCTTGATAAATTGTGCTGTGTTTATGGAGGTGGACAACAGGGATGGAGCAGAAGGGTCTGCTCAGAGGCATTAGGTGGCTGTGACTTTCAAAACAGCACAGTGGCTGTCATTTCATTTCTGGTTTAACTGATAATTTTTAAATAGGAAATTATATTTACACAGGCTGTCAAGTTGATTTGAATGAAAATATATTTCTATTTGATTTTTATCCTTTAGGGACCAGTTGTAGTTTTACATTAGTCATGGCAACCCTGCCTCTGATTTAGGGCTGAACTCACCCTGGGGACATTATGTATCCATGCCCCACTTGTAAGATTCACGTCCTGATAACGTTGTCGCAGGTTCCATGATTTAAAAGCATTTTCTCAACAAAAGAAGGAAGAAAAAAAGTGCAAGCGCTGTGTTTGCTAATAAGTAAATTATCATCTTTGCACCTTTTAATCTACAGTCAAATACATGCTGTTGTTTATCATAGAAAGCAAATATATCTAATTAATTTATACAATAATGGGCAAGAAAATTCTTCATGCTTGTGTTGTTCTTTATATATACTCTAGCATGTAAAATTGGTCGTTTTCCAGTTTAGGTTTAATTTTACTTCCTAGCACTTGATGTGTCTGAAGCATAAAATGTTTATCTCTTTCTTCCATCTGGGTGAAGTATTGTACAATAGTTCAGACCAAAAATGGGTTCAGATTGCTTACATTATCATGTTTGATAGATTGACATATGTACTATTTCACACCATCTTACCACGCAAAGCTCTGCTGCCAGCAGCTACCACCATCTTATTCATCAGCATTCAGTAATTCATCTGCAGGCCAAATGGGACTGTTTGCCTGAATTAAAGAAAAAAAAAAAAAAAAAAAAAAGAAAGAAAGTAGGCAGAAATTCACCTGTCAGTGCTTTCCTGGAATCTGGGGGTTGGAAAAAGCGTGTCTGTAGCTTGGGTGGCTCTCGGGGGATTTCACAGAGCCAACATGAGGTTTTTATGGATCATGTTCACCTTGTCCTTAGGAAGGAGAGGTGGGCAGCCCTGGGACAGTTTATCCCTGAAGGTTTGTCCATCAGAAATCAGGCAGCATGCAGCCCTCAGCATGGTGGTGAAATTCCTCCACGCCATGGAGAAATTTGGACGTTCATGGTTCTGTGTGGCAATAAATAAATCGAGCATTTCCCTTTTAAGCTTTGCAAGATCCAGCTCTCAAATGTATGCACTGTTATGAATGCATCAAAATGAAAGTGTTTATAGTATTCTAGGTTTGAATCAAGTTAAACAGATAATCACTGCTTATAATTGGTTTATTCCAATGGAAATAGCTTAGCCTTAATTTGACAACAAGAGCTTTTACAGAGTCATTGTTTTATTATAAGTATGCCGTAAGCTATTAGCTACTACTTTGTGGTTCATCTTATTTGCCTGAGTCAGCTCTCTAACATGCTCAAAACATACAGATTCTAGCAGGAGCTATTTGTTACACAGTAATTAACTTGTTTATGATAAATGGATGGGAGAAATGTCACGGCATTTTGTTTTATGTATAAATGAAAAGCATCTGCATTCTAAAAATTTCATGTTAATTAGACTTAAAATAGTTTTCCCCAGTAGTGCCACAAATACCACACGCTGTACATCGCTGCCAACACTGTGGCCTGATGATGGGGTGGTGGCTGAGGTGATTTGTGGAGCCAGTGCCTTCCTCAGAAATGCCATCAGTGCATCTCTTAATGAAAGCTACTGGGGTGTAATCTGTTATACTTTTTTGTCTTTGTTTTTGTTTGCAGGATAATAAACTTAGTCTTGATCACTGATGCATGAGAATGTTTAAGATAGCTTCGTTAAGTATTTTCTTCTTTAGCCTAAGGGAAAGATTTCCATGTCTGCAGTATGGCAGAGGACGATTGTGGCACAGGGATCTTTTCCTCTTTGTTAATTATTCATGTTAACTTAACGTGGTGAGAGCATTGGTCCTGAGGGGTGGGGAGCAGGGCCATGTGGGGCTGCACTGAAGCAGCTCAGCAGTGTCCCAGGGGATCTGATTCCTGATGTGAACTCAGTGTTTGGGAGCGATGAAGACCAGCGGCCTCTTGGGGAAGGAGGGAGAGAAGGATGCTGGAAGTGGTGAGCAGTATGATACTCTTGCTATTGGCTTTATGCCCTTTTGGATTTTTTTGTAGTGTTTTTTAAGATTATGATTAATGAGAAAAGATGTTTTTCAGAATGAGAAGTTGAGGTTTAATTGGCACGCCGTGAGGCTGTGGTGGCTGGGAGTGGGTGGGATGACATCAGGGTGTTGAATGCATTATTCCTCCAGTGTGGCCCCACCAGGCTCCAGCACCTCTCAAACACACCTAAACAAAACAGCTCACAGCAGACAACACGAGCAGATGAGAGGCAGAGCCACTTTGTTGTGTTTTCTGTGCATCCCTTGGTGTGCAGTGATCCGTGTGTCTGTGCCCAGCCCGAGCAGTGCCTGTGCTGATGGAGCAGGGGAACTTCTCCTGTGTGGGCAGCCACGTTTGGGGACAAGTGTGTGGCAGCACGCTTTATTTTCATATGAGGAGATGAATAAACTCTGCCAGCATGTTCTGCTCTAAGAAAATGTATGAAACCAAAGTTAGCCAAGCTCATGCAAATGCATAAAAATGTAATTGCTTCTATTCTAGGATTTTTTACTAGCATGATTTTTGGTTTAAAAAAAATACATAAAAGCTCTATTGGAATACCGCTTTTTTTTTTTTTTAAAGAAGAATTCACTATAGAGATAATCTCCTGTAAGTTTTTGAGAGATAGGATGTTCTTCATGGTCAAAAGCTTTTTTGTTCTCTCCACTGAGATTTCAAAACCTCCATCCTTTTTAGCCCTCACCACATCCAATATTAAAACTTAAGAAGGCTGTGAATGCTACTTTAGAAAATACTGACTGCATAGACCAAAAAACCCCAGCATCCACAATTTTCCTGGGATGGTGGAGAATACTGTAGATGGTGCAGGCTTCCCACTTTTCCTGGGTTCAGAGTCCAGAAAATACCCAGTACCCATCTGCTGTCAGTTTTGGCAGGAGCTTGGTTCCCACAGGCTCTGAAGGGTGTGTGGATGCCTGAGGCTGCCCTGCCCACAGTCATGCCTGTGTCTTCCAGGTGCCCTCTGGTGTGTCCTGAGGGTGCTTTTGGGAAGGGAAGAGCCTGAGCAATGCTGGATTTGTTCTGGTGTTTGGTGATTTTTTTTGAGCACCTCTTAGGGCTGCTCGGTGCTTGCAGCAGTTCTGCTGCAGCCTCCTGGAATAGCCAGTGCCTTCTCCAAGCTGCTCAGAGCTGAAAAAAGCAGAGAGGCTTTTCCATTCGTGTTTCCATTATTTTCTGGTCTGTGATTTTGCATGAAAAGCAGTTACTGCAGTTATTGTACACGTAATTAGCTTCACAGTTCCCTAACAACATCTGAAAGTAGGAGAGCGGCCGCTGGAGCCCAGAACTCACCCTCACCTTTCTTCACTCCTTTCTTGGAGCAAAGAGAGGCAGGCAGGCATCAGCTCTCTGTGTTCAGCTTGCACAAGCTCCAGTGGAGCTGCCTCTCAGAAAGCACTTCTCACATTCTGCAGGACAACTTCTCCTAAAAGCAGTTTCTCGTGATGGGCACGTTGCAAATCAAAACCATCATTTCCATCATGAGTTCCAGGGGAGACCCCAGAAAGAGCTGCTGCAG